CTGGCAGGCAGGGAGACAGGAAGAGGAATTTAACCGCAGGAGATGGGACATTCAAGGGAGACGAATTTACCACATGACATGGGACTTCCAAGGCCGGAACTGGCAGGTAGGGAGACGGGAAGAGGAATTTACCGTGGGAGGTTGGGCATCGTGGGAACTGGCAGGTAGGGAGATGGGAAGAGGAATTTAGCACAGGAGATGGGACATCCAAGATGGGAACTGGCAGATAGGGAGATGGGAAGAGGAATTTACCGCAGGAGATGGGACATCCAAGGGAGACGAATTTACCACATGACATGGGACTTCCAAGGCGGGAACTGGCAGGTAGGGAGACGGGCAGAGGATTTACCGCGGGAGGTTGGGCATCGTGGGAACTGGCAGGTAGGGAGATGGGAAGAGGAATTTAGCACAGGAGATGGGACATCCAAGGTGGGAACTGGCAGGCAGGGAGACAGGAAGAGGAATTTAACCGCAGGAGATGGGACATTCAAGGGAGACGAATTTACCACATGACATGGGACTTCCAAGGCCGGAACTGGCAGGTAGGGAGACAGGAAGAGGAATTTACCGCGGGAGGTTGGGCATCGTGGGAACTGGCAGGTAGGGAGATGGGAAGACGAATTTACCACATGACATGGGACTTCCAAGGCCGGAACTGGCAGGTAGGGAGACGGGAAGAGGAATTTACCACATGACATGGGACTTCCAAGAGCCCGGCTCGAGGACTTCGACCCGGCAACGGAGGTAAGCCACACATAAAACTTTAGCGCAACGGGGGTAACACACAGGGTCAACGGGGAAGCCTATAACGGGAGGGACACAACGAGAAAATGAGAAATGTCACGTTTATGGTGGGTAAATGAGAAAAAACTTATTATGTAATTTTTTGAAATCTTAAAATTGTGCATATGTGTTTAATAATAGTTAGATATTTTTCAAAGGCTTGGTGTGCCCTGTGTATGCACAGGTAGTTCATGCAACTCTATATACGAAATGTGAGTTATCTAAGGTTCAATGTTGTTCAATCTTGGTATCAATAAAAATCGTATTCAATTTTCATGCATGTAAAGCACATGACATGTATAGCATTATATACATATATATATATATAATATATTTGACGACGCTCAATCCTGTATTTTGTAGACAAAGTTTGAACTGGTGGCCCTGCACTGGCTCGAGAGGTGTTTGCACCTCCTTATTTGCCGCACTATTTTGTAGAGAAAATTATCACAGGGATCTGCTAAATACGTGCTAGGTAGCTGCTAAATAGTTGCTGAATACACGCTGAATGTCTGCCAAATAGTTGCTAAATAGTTACCTGTATTAAATAGCTGCTAAATAGCTTTAGTAGCCGCCAAATAGTTACTGAAATAGCTGCTAAATAGCTTAAAAAACTGCTAAATAACCGCTAAATAGTTTCAAAGCTTCTAAATAGCTGCTCAATAGTTGCTAAATAGTTGCTAAATAGCTGCTACATAGCAGCTAAATAGTTGCTAAATAGCTGCTCAATAGTTGCTACATAGTTGCTAAATAGCTGCTAAATAGCAGCTAAATAGTTGCTAAATAGCTTCTAAATGGTTTCTAAATAGTTGCTGAATAACTACTAAATAGGTGCAAAATAACTTCTAAATAGTTGCTGAATAGTTGACAAATGGCTTCTAAATAGCTTCAAAATAGTTGGTAAATAGCTGCTGAATAAATGCTAAAGAATTGCCAAGTAGCTTCTGAATAGCTGCTAGATAGTTGCTAAATAGAACGAGGTGAATGGATTCATGTGACTTTGGAATATTCTAACAGCTGACGTATAATGTTGGATTATTCTAACTGCTAGCAGGTAGTCATACACTCATATACTATCTTTGTGTGGGATGTGAAATGTACAGTGTGTCAGTTTAGTTGACATGACACGTTTTGCATCTTTTAGAACCCAAACAATTGCAGAGGTCCCGTGTCATGTGATTTTTTTTTGCGAGGCACTTTACAGATGACATGGGACTTATGCATTTTTCTGCTTTTTTCACTTTACAGATGACATGGGAGTTATCGTTTTTTGGGTATGTTCGACAACTCCCATGTCATCTGCAGGTACTATAGATGGCATCAATGTAGTGCCAAATTCTCCAACATGTTTTACTGAACATTGTTCTTTTGAATTGTGAGCGGTTATCTCATGATTGCGATTGCAAACATTGAAACAAGGTACTTCATTTCCGACGATCAAGTCCATTTTCCCTGCAGCAAAAAGAGACCCAAGAATCTGGTGGGGTAAGAACATCACCTGCGTCGTGGTCTTCTCCTCTTTCCCGTGGCTGTCCTCCCATTCCTCAGGGATCAGGGGCCGAGTATATCAAAATATGCATTGGGATTTTTCACCTGGAGTAATTGTATTAGTTCCCAATTATTTTAAGCTTTTGGATATTCATAACTTTCCCCAGTTGACAGAGTAATCCCCTTCCAAACCGGTTAGCCGCTGGCTTCCATGCATCCAGGAATCCACAGTCAATGGAATCCTTACTCAGGAAAACAAATGTCAGAAAGATATGAAATTTGACCCTGCATGTTTTCTTCCAAAGAATGTTTTGCGAATACAGCTGGGCAACTCGAACGGTAAAGGAAGAGCCTGTCCTTAGATTCGAACTACATGTTTGTTGGGGTAAGTGACCTGGAAATTAACATTGTGGACTGCTGCATCAATAGTCTGGATGAAAATAATTCAAGTTTCGCCAGGGTTGTTGCAAAACCCATTTCCAAAGAGTGGGGCCACATCCCCTGCTGGAAGATCTAGCTTTGATAGAGGCTGCCAACTGCAGGACACTCTTGGGCACTAGACGATGTGGTAGCCGATCGAACCGGCCTTGGAAGCAATTAGGGCCAAGGTTTGTGGCAAGAAGGGAATCATGGTAAACATACTTAGCCCCCAGCTAACTACAGACTTCACTCGAGACATTGCCACCTGCCAGATGGGGCTATAGCTCAGAATGTGATTTGGGGCACAAGAAAGGCATTGTTGATCAAAACCACTGAATGTCAATGGTTGTGCTATTACCTGGCCTCACCCTTACCAAGCATATCAAAGAGTTCGCTTACGGTGTCGGCAATGATCTTCGAGATGTTCTCTTCCATGGTGCACCGGCCAGTTGTCATTTTGACAGTAGCTATAATAATGCAAAAAAATGGTGGTGAACCAGAAAAGATTGAGTGACCATTGCATTGACCGATGGTTGGCTCATATTGTTCAAAGTGAACCTCAATAGAAGCTTATAGAAATGATACATTTAAATCAGCTTGGGGTCTTGAGGTGGTCCTACCCCGTATCTAAAGAAGCCCTCTATAGGTTCATAAAGGTAGAAGGGGGACCAACTATGTGAATATATATGTATATATATATACCCGAAATATGTTTGGATTTATTTGGGGTATCCATGTGTGTATATGTATAAACATATAACATATACATATAGATCTTGGTTTAAAACAAAGCCTCCAACAATCGTTGGGTCTTTGGCCGATGGGTTGCAACATGGGATAGATGCCTGAGGGATCATGGGGTTCAAGTAAATGACTACAATATGGACCTGGAAATGTTTGCTACAAGTTGGCCCCTGCTAGAATTCTGGATTTGTTGATCGGATATCTAGTTGATACATTCCGATGTGGTTTCACATCGGCCACAAAAAAACTGCAGCCATCCAAGGAAAATTAATCTTCGAAACTCTGCGTTCACACAAAGTTCAATCATGGCAGTGGCTGCTGCAACTTGGCAGCAATGCTTTTTGCTCTCTCCACCATCGCAGCAGCTCGGATGTCCAGGCACATGGCATAGCCGTCGTTGCCACCTGCCCCGGCAGCTGAAACAACAATTGGGTTTTTACAATAGAAGTATTTTTGTGTGGACATCTTCATATCAAGACTTATCAGGACAAAATGCCGAGGATTGTTGACACTCTCCCAACTAGAGAGATCCCCGTGCAACATGGCTCATGCCTGATGCCTAGCCTAAATCCTGTGAACTGAATGGTTCTGAATGGTTTTCAACCGTTCCATGTAATGACAAAAGTCACTTTGAAGATGTGGGCCTAGTCTTCGTCCCACTCGGAATCATGCCCCCACTCACCATCATCATGCCATTCACCTTCTGCCTCACCCTCTTCTGTTTTAACCGGAACCGGGGCAGCAGCAGCCTTGGTCTTTGCCTTCGCTTTTGCTTTTGATTTTGCCTTGCCCGTGCCTCCCCCTTCCGCCTTTCGCTTCTTCGCCGCTTCGCCTACAAGTAAGAGAGATTCATAGTGCCATAGGGCTGTTGAGGGATGAGTTTTGTTTTGACCACAACAAGACATTGGTATAATCAACTTGGGACCCCACGACGTTGAAAGGTTTGAACAATCATCTCCGCATCAGTCACAGCCTTTTGGATGTCCTTCGCCAATGCCAATGCTCAGGTAAACTATGTGGTGATGGACAACACCGGCATCGCTGGAACATATATTCTTTATGCTTGGATACCTGGCAACACTAAGAAGGAATGGGCGATGTCCTCCAAAGGCTTTTCAAGGGTCTTGAGTCGTCCTTCACATTCATCCAGCGATTTGCCCTGGAAGACCATGCCATTCAACCTGATACATCAATAGGTCTTGGGTTCCAAAGATTGCGGCTAAAAAACTGAGTTGATGGCTCTTTGCTGTATGTCTGCACTTCGTCGTGGGACTGTTGCAGAACCTTCTTTGTCTCCTGTAACGTTCAGTTTGGAAATAAGCTTTGAAACATGTCACTCTTAGACGCTTTGACACAGTCAAGTGGCTGTTATGATATGGAGAAAAATAAAACACCAAGAACTTGAGAATTGTTCCTCCTGGTTGGAGATGCCATGCTCAGTGAGAGACTGTGCTGCGCTCAATGCTTTGGTCCCCAAGGAATTCAGCCTCAGACCAATGCATTCTTTTCGGGATCATACCCGATTAAAACAGCAAAAGTTATGACTTTGTAAGTTCCGAACTGTTTCAAAGAGTGTTGAAAAGCTTTCTTGCGCTCCTCTTCCGGGGTCTTCGCCTTTTCAAAAATGGACTGTGTAACATTGAAATTCTCATCAGTAACAAAATTTGGAACTTGGAAGAACCATGCCCTACCTTGGTCGGCTTTGCTGCAGCCTTCGCTTTCTTATTGGCCGGTTGGTCTGGGAAGAGGGATCCAGCTGATGCGTCAAACGAAGCCTGGTGTGCAGTGATCTTGTCTGCCAAAGACTGCCTGGCAGCCTTGTTGGCAGCCACTGTTCCCCTGACTCCGATACTGGTTCCACTGACTTTCGCCCTTTCACCTCAGCCCACAGTGCTGATGGTTTGGGTGTATAGAATCCTTTTGGAAAAACTGAGGAAAGAACTTGTGTGCTTAAACGATTCAAAGATCTTGTACAGCCGGCGACGTGGATTCTGTGGATCCTGAACCAAACTTGAGATTGGTTTGAACACATTTCCCATATGGTCACTATATATACACCTTTTGTCTGAGAGCCGTGCCTGCGGGTGTGCAACTCCAGCTTGTTCTTAGCAAAAAAAATGGGTTTCAAAATTGATCCGAGATATGATTTTTTTCCTGGGTACAAGACTCTCAACTATGACCTTCTGGAGCCATTCGCGGTCTTCAGGTGACTTGTAGATCTCCTCTAACTCGCACAGGGGCTTCTCAATCCAAGTTCCTTTGGATTTCTCCTTTGCTTGCCTCACAGTATGCAACAAGGGATGTAATTTAAGATCATACAGTGGTCTTTCAGTGTTGACACAGAACAAATGTAATGACATTCTTATCTGAGGAACGTGCTCGATAAACCAGCTCTCCACAACTACAGATTGTAACGTTGGGTCCATTATGAACTGCTTCAAGTTCTCAAACCTTAGGTGCCCGAACGATCCCAATCATGTGATCAACCCTTGTGCAAGTCCAATCCAAGGACGTGGCTTCTCTTGGTCAGTTCGCGCCGCAGTGAACTTCTCCACCAACCCTGGTTTGAGGCCTCCAAGGAAAGGGCCCATGGTTGTGGTGAAAATCCCACTGTATATGTTGGTGGTCGAATCATTTTATACAAACTGTTTGATGCAAATCCAATTGCTTACAAGGGGGCGATTGAAGCTTGTAGAAAAAACATGTTTTCATTACCCACAAGTATGAACACTCATCATTGCATCCATTCATTCAAGGTCCTTTATTGCACCTGCAGATTTAATAAACAGGGTAGGGGGTATTATATATATCATCTAAGGTGAGTCCCCTTGACACTGGAAAGCTGAATTGGTTTATAACTTGGTTTTCTATTTGTTGGAATGTTAGTCATGTGTAAATATATATATATATATGGTTTTCTAAATTCAACAACCAACTCACAAATGGGTGGATACCAGTGTATATATATGTGTATAATATGTTGTTTTTGTAAAGGAAACCGACATGATAAGAAATGGCTTGGCCTCCAGATTGGAGCTTTCTCCGAAGAGCTTCACGCTGACGCTTGGTTTCCCCCGGGCATAGGGCATCAAGATCTTTGGGGTTGGACATCGCCTAGCGGAATCTGAGCCATCCCCAAAAGAAGATATCTGCCGCTGGGAACAGTACAAGCAAACAAAGAATGGGCCTGCACCTGTTCCTGGATTTCTTTGGGCAAGATTTTCACCTCAGCCACAATTACAATTTATTATGCCTACAAGTTAAACTTGTACTTGGATGATATCTCAAGGTAATTTTATTTGACATTCTAACCTGGTTTGCCTGAAAATCTGAAAATATAGGTATCGATATGGTGGTGTCCAACTTTCAAACAAGCCGATGTTTGACAGAGGATTGGGGCGCTTACCCGTTTGACACGTCCATCTTCTCCAACTTGCCCCAAAGCAGGCATGCTTACAGCCCCTCCACCATCAGAAACCATGGACACGCTGGTAAAGCTTTTGTCAATTGTAGGCCTGAACCATGTGCAAATGCATCGGTAAAAAGACAATAGGCCAAATGATTTTCAATATCCAACAAGTGGAGTGAACAGAAGTGAACTTGAGCCTTTCACCATTCGAGCTGTTGGAGGTGCCAGTGTTGGTCGAGCCAGGGCTTTCCTGTGGCAACGTGAAGGTATGTTTTTAGATTCCATATATGCATCAGAAAAAACCATGAGTTTAAACATGTATAATATGCTTAATATACCCCATCCTGCCTCAGTTGGGGACTTGTTGCGCACAGGTGTCTCGTCCGTAGTTCTGGCGTCTCCAGAACCTTTGCCTTTGCTGCTATCTAGCCCCTTGCCTTTCTGGCTATCCTTACCTTTCATCCATTCAGCAGCTCCTGGTTTGCCGGCCTTCCCCTTCTTGGTTTTACCTTTGTAACCTTTGCCTTTGTGTTCTGCCTTTCCTTTGGATTGCACTGGCGTGGCTGGTTGGCGTGGGGTTGTCGCTTCAGTTGGGCTTGGGGTTGCCGCTTCAGGTGGGCTTGGGGTTGTCACTTCAGGTGGGCTTGGGGCTGTCACTTCAAGTGGGCTTGGGGTTGTCGCTTCAAGTTGCTTTGGAGTTGTCGCTTCGGGCGCGCTTGGAGGTGGCACGTCTGCAGGTAGGCTTGAGGCTGGTTGGGTGGGAGTTGGTGTGGCTGGGGTGTGGTCAGGGATGGTGGCAGGGATTGTGGCTGGCAGCGTGGCAGGCACAGGCACAGTTGTGGGGCTTGCAGCCTGGGAACCTGGTGCATTGCTTGTGGCATCAGGTAAGCCATACCCTTTCCCATTTTCACGTGTCACCTTGCCTTTCTTACCTTTCATCATGGCTTTCATTTTCCCTTTGCTCATCCCTGCTTTCTTCCCTGGCCCTTTGGGCACAGCTGGTTCCATATCCACTGGAGCTGGATGGGGTGAAACGGTCATGACTGGATCGCGTTGAGGCTAAATCGCCTACGGCAAAAGCAAAAATGGAAAGAAAAACTGAAATCAGAAAAGTTGATTCTGGGCATCAGCCCCGGCACGGCCCGGCACGGAAAAACCCTTGTTATAAGTATCCTGACACGCGTGGACACGCGTGGACACGGTCTCAGAAAAACAGTGTTTTTTTAAAACTCCTTGGCAAAATGTGTGAACTTGGCATAATTGCAATATTTTTCCCCGAACAGTCGCCAACGTGTCACTGGTTAACACGCTGGCCCACCAATTTGGCAAGGCTTTAGAAATGTTGGCATGGAAGCTTTACCAGCGTAACAACAATTATTATTATAGACATATAGATGTCTAATATCAGGATTTTTTTGGATAGGGGTTTAACATATCCAGCTCCCACCCCAACACTTTGTTAGAAGGCCAAACCTTCCAAACCCGAGTCGGATGAGTCATCCGAATCCGTGTCACGGATAGCCAGCCCCTGGTCAGGCTGAATGGTCGTGGCCGCATTGCTGTGCAGCTTCGACATCAAGTAGCCCACCTTAAAGTTTGCAGCCATGGGTGGTCGAGGGTTAGCATATCATTTGGGGGGACTACTCTAAGATGCGAATATATATATATATATAATGTATATCTATGTAAATGTATGTGTATATGTATGTGTATGTATGTGTATATATGTATATATATATGTATATATGTATATATATATATATATGTATGTATTATATTTATATATAGATATTATATGCACTATTGGCGTGTGGGTTCGTGCACGCTAACTATCCAATATAAGACAAGTAGCACGCAAACCCAGACCACCGGGATATTTCTGGGTTGATCGCAGGTCACGTCCACCAACCTGGGCCATGTTAGGTTTTAAGGATGATATTCCATATCCAGGTTGGGTTTCACGTGTCAACTAAGATTGGAACGATTTTTTCATCGCCAGTTTTTCGACATCGGTATCGCCGGACAGTTTGGATCTTCAAGAACTTTCGAATGCGATCCAGCTAAATCCTACAAAATCAAATCCAGAACATCTGCAAATTTGGAAAGTTTAACCTTAACAACTGTACATGCAATGGGCTTGATGCGGTCCTCATCCCTGGGGTGACCACCTGAGGAAGGGAATTTAGCCATGGTGCTGTTCCCCAAAGAACTACCTGGGCGTATGGGCCAACCCACTCGAAAAACCTAAAGTTGTCCAATTAAAGCAGCATCAACCATGGGGATGACATGGATAGCAACCAAATAGAAAAACATCAGGTTGTGACCAGCGATTTTTCCATAAGGGCCCAATAAATGAATTATAGAAATGATTTTCTTAAAACCAACAATGTGAATTATATCCAGGTCACACACTGATAGTACCTTAATGACGACTAAAGACTGGTTTTAATGTAGTCGCGCCATAGCTCCCAAGCTGCACCACAACACGTTTAGCTCCATGTCGACGTAGGCGATCCCGAATTGCTTTAAACTGCCACAGCAAGCTACTTAACGGGTTTTCCAAGACATAGAAAGATCCCTTCAGGTAATGGTATTCCAAAAGGTATGCCACCCGACGGGCTATTTTGTTGGCTTCAGCCACACACCTCAGGCTCCGATCTCCTCGAACTCTCCACCAACGTCGCTTGGTCGATCCTCTTGACCTCACGATCCGAAGGCAGCAAGCAGTGGGTCACGGATAATACATATGTATATATATATATATATATATATATTTATTTATTTAAATATGTATAACTATATATATAACTATATATATGTATGTATATGTATTTGTCTACATATATATATATACATATATATACATATGTTTGTATGTATGTATGTATGTATGGACGTATGTATATGTATATGTATTTGTATTTGTATATGTATATGCATGTGTATGTGTATGTGTATGTATAAGTATACATGCACACACACACATATATATACATAATTATATGTATGTATGTACGTATATGTATATATGTGTGTGTGTTTTCAATGATGAGTTATCATATGTAAATACATGGTGGTATATTTATATGTATGCATGTGTGGGTGTGAACTCTGTGTTAATTAAATTATTACATTTATGTAAGGTTTTTTTATATTTATATATATACTGCGTATGTATTTGGAATATTTACACAGATACATCCATACATATGTATATACATACGCATACATGCACTTGCATAAATATGTAAATAAATATATATATATACTGAACGTGTGTGTTTATTGCCTATAGAGATTGAACTATATATTATGCATGTATAAATAGATTAGATGTTTCTTGTACATGGATAGATATACTTGTTTTTGCTAAACTCGTGCTTATACAAATATATTTCTATCACGTATATTTTTAACATCTCGTAAACATAAAAACAAATCAATGTATAACAATACATGTTTGACACACAAACCCAAAAAACATGTGTGTAAGGGGGTCCTGGTGTACTAAACTACCCTTGCCCCAAAACAGCAATTAGAACCCTTGAGCCCCTGCATGGGGCAGAAATTATATAATAGGTTTGGTTTCTCTGGGCTATAAAGAAATATTGGGAGCAACTTGAAACTCAGGTGGATGTAAATGTGAAGGTCGATGGTGCTGATTTGGGGGATTCGAACAGTTCGAACAGCAAAGATAAATGGGTTCGTGAAGCTCAGATTTGTAAGGGGTCGAATTAAAAGGTCAAAACTCTAAACTTCCTGGAGCCCATTCTGAAATCAGGCCTAAGCACATGTACACCCAGGGCCCACATGGCACCGCATACCATGCACATCCCCGAACACATACACGACGGGCTTGGTAGAGCAGGAACATAAATCCAAAGGCACTCATGATGTCCATCTTCCGACTGTAAGACACCTGGGCTTAAGATTTCGTAATTGGTGTTTCTTCCCATTTGCGAGATCTCAGCATGATTTTACTGAACACAATTTCACCAACAAAATTCACCGAGTAACGTCCACACAGCGGGAATCAAGGCCATGTGCAAGAAGTCCGTCATGGAGGATGTGTTCACCTCACATATGTTTCAACCACTTTGTAGAAACATGTTTTTATAACTACATTCAACAAGAAGGATGTATGAACAAGTGGCCGCTGAAGACTTCAAGAAAATGAAGAGCTTGATCAGGTGGTACTTCGCCAAAGCCTTTGAAAGTGGGGTCCCCATACCAAGACATAAAATCCATAAGGTACCCCAATCATTGCGTCGATCTTACCTGTTGATTAACCATCCTTTAGGGCGTACACCTGTGGAATTCAGGGGTGGTAGCCAAAAACCATATGACAAACAATCAATAAAAGAAAATACCACAATGGTGTAGCAAAGGTAGCCTAGCAACTGGCAACCAATGCTGCCAATGGTACGACCAGGTTGCTGAACTTCATGGCACCAACGGTCTAATACTCAAAAGGTTATATCCCCAAATGGGTACCCACAAGGCCTGTAGGTGTTGAAATTTAGAAGCTTTCGCATATGTGTATATATATATATGTATGTATGTATGTATGTATGTATGTATGTATGTATAGACATGTATCTGTATATTTGTGTGCATGTTGTATGTAGCTCCGAAAATTCGGAAGTTGCAGTCACTAATATGCGCACAACTCATTCCATTGTATTGTGTAACCATGACATGT